CCCCGAGCCGGGGGCTGAGGGCAGCCCTCCCCGGGCAGAGGGCCGCGACGGCTCGCCCCAAGCCAGGGGCCGAGGGCAACATCTCTCCTTTTGACTCAGCAATCTCTCTTCTAGGAATCTAACCCAAAGATACACCGCAAAATTATTAAACAGCATAAACCTAATGCTATTTGTTGCAGTATTTACTATCAAAAACAAAAACAGCTACTGCCACGTAGTCAATTCCAACTCACAGTAGACCTGCACTGGGGTTTTAGAGGCTATACATCTTCACAAGAGGAAACTGCTCATGTTTCTCCTACACAAAGCTGGTGGATTCAAACCACTGACCTTTTGATTAGCAGCAGCACAATACATAATACCCTACACCAACACAGCTCCTTAGTATTGTTTATAATAACAAACACTGTGGAAACAACTCAATTGTCCATCAACTATGGTAGTTCACATGATTTGGTTACATGCAACTGTAAAAGGAAATTAAGACACTCACTATATACAAAGAATCATCTCCAGATACATTGTTAAGAGAGAGAGAAAAAACCCAACACCAAGATGGCGAATAGTGTTTATGGCATGCTATCTTTGTGTAAGAACAGAACCAATAAACCAATATAACAGAACCAATAATCCAACATAGTATCAAAATGGCATAATATCATAGGAAAACAAATTATATAAATGACTTTTAAACACTGTGTTTAGATTTTAAATACCTAGTGGAATATGTCCCTAGGCCAAAAATAACCAAATATAAATCATAACTTCATTCAGTGGTCTTATATTTAGTGCGGAGAGTGGTATCATTATCTTGCATTATTCTATTACCACAGATTGCCAGGAGAACAGATAAATCTGTTTTGGAGGAAGTATAGCTCAAGTGCTCCTTTATCACACCATTTGAGACTCTGTCACACCATCCTTGTTTGTCATGTACTTTGCACACATTACCAAGAGGGGCCAGTTCTCAAAAAAAAGATAGCATGCTTGGAAGAGTGGAGGATCTGCAAAGGAGGAGATCCGCAGTCCTTAGTGAGGTGGAGTGATTCAGTGACTGCACAAGAGCTTAAGCAGAGACTGTAAATGTGACACAGGATCGGACTGGGTTTTCTGCTGTACATAGGTTCACTATGAGTTGGAATCAACTTGATAATACCTAACTAACAACAATGACAAATAATGATAAAGAACTAATATTAATAGAATAAAGCAAATAAGTGATTAGGTTAATATTAGGAAGCAAAATATACTAACATGAGAAAAATTAGATCAAAGAAATCATCAATTTTGTAATAAGTTCTATTTGAACTTGACTATCAACTTGAAATGATTGTGGGGGGGTTGTTTGGGGGTTTTGTATGAAAATGATGATGATGATGATGATGAGTGTGTGTGTGTGTACCATCAAATCAGATCTAACTAGTACAGGAGGAGATTGCCCCTCCTTCTCCAGCAGAGCATCTGGTGGATTTGAAACAGTTTTAGTTTACTTGGCTCCACAATCAACACTCTTGGTAACAGCAGCCAGGAAATCAAGAGACGAATTGCACTGGGTAAGTCAGCTGTGAGGGAACTCTCAAGAGTACTGAAGAGGAAAGACATCAGACTGGAGACTAAGGTGCACCTGATCCGGGCTATAGTCTTTGCAATTACGTGCTATGCATCAGAGAGTTGGACAGTGAATAGGGTTGATAGAAAGAGAATTGATGCCTTTGAGCTGTGGTGCTGGAGAAGAGTGTTGAATATACCATGGACTGCTAGGAGAACAAACAGGTTTGTCCTAGAGAAGGTAAAGCCAGAATGCTCCTTGGAGTCAAGGATTCTGAAGCTTCATCTGACATACTTTGGGCAAGTTGCAAGGAGGGACTGGTCCTTGGAGAGGGACATCATGTTTGGCAGAGTGGAGGGGTGGCGAAGGAGAGGAAGACCTTCGATGAGATGGATCATTTCTGTGACTGGAGAGGTGGGAATAAGTGCATTTGAGATGGCTAGGTGGATATAGGATAGAACAGCGTTTAGAGATCTTGTACATAGGGTCGCTATGAGTCGCAAGCGACTCGATGGCACATAACAACAATCTCTGGAATTGCAGTGCAGCTTCTTGCCCCTAGGGCACCAGAGCTCCCTTGAACTGATTGTTTCCCATTTAAAAAATGATATATGTCATAATCACATCCACGTAAATACCTAGGAATAATGATGGCCCAATAGCTAAAAGCATGTCCAGTGTATAGGTGGCCATCTCAAGCCAAGATTCTTTTGAGAAATTAGTGAATCCTTGGAGAAATTAGTGAATCCATATATGAAGTGGGCAATGAATGAGTGTCTAAAATTTATTTTCATGTAGGAAACCAAGGAAATGTAAATATACTCGTGTAATCATGCCACAATAACACAGACGTTAACATGAGGGCATTCCACTATTCTAAGATGTGTTAAAATGTATGTTAATATTAATAACCGCTCCAATGAATTAAAGTTGTTGTATGTGCCACTGAGTTACCTGCAACTCACAGCAACCCTATGTACAATAGTTCTGAACCCAGTCAGTCTTACTGACTCTAACACATCCACCCCCATTACCCCAGTTACTGTGTCAATCCATCTCATCTGGGATTTTCCTCTCTTGCACTGTCCTCCACCCTTTCAAGCATGATGTCCCTCTCCAAGGATTGGTCCCTTCTGGCTATGTGCTCAACGCATGTAAGCCAGACCTTCAAAATCCTAACCTCCAAGGATAAACTTGGTTTCACCCTCTCCAAGACAGACCTATTTGTTCTCTTGGCAGTCCATGGTATGTTCAAGACTCTTTTACAGCATCACAACTGAAAGGCATCAATTCTTCTTCTGGTATCCTCAGTGACTGTCCGGCTCTCTGATGCATAACAAGTAACAGCAAGGGCCATGGCCTGGATCAGGCACACCTTGGTCTCTATCATTGCTATTTAGCACTTTAGAAAGGTGATTAGTTTAATAGAGCACGTTTAGAGTAGACTAGCAGATATAAGCACCTGAGGCTGAGCCCTCAAATTTGGAAAGTTATAATGGAGAAATGTCTTTCTTTTCTTGTGTGTATTATTTTAATGAAAGTTTATGGAAAAGTTGGATTTTCATTCATTCCTTGTTGCACATTTTCCTCCTTATCTCCCTAAGTTTGTTTTTAAAAAATAACCAACATTCATTCATTGTTGCATAATTAATTTCCTCCCTTCCTACTACTCCTCACCGAGTCTACATTGCTATGCTCTTATTCTTGGCTGGTGCCATACAGATAATGCCTAATCATACTAAGAAAAGAAGGTATAAATAATGAACACTGCAATAGAACTGACAAAGAAAAGCACTGTTTAAAAGGGAAGTGTCTTTCATCTGCTCCTTTCAGTAAAATGTTTGTGTGTCATATATTTTTCTAAAGCTGAGTTTCCAAGCAAAGACATTCTAGGAAGAAGGCTTGCCCCTTCACTTCCTAAGTAACAGGTCTTCAAAAATTCTATGTACAATAGAATTCAAGTACACAAGTAAAAACTCATGAGTCCATAATCTCTCTCTCACACACACATCTTTGTTCAGCATTGGTTGTATTGGTTGTTGCTAAAACACCAACTCAGAGCCTCCACATAAAACCAACCAGCCCCACTCCCACTGAGTTGATCCTGACTCATGACGACTCTACAGGACAGAGTAGAACTACTCCACAGGGTTCCAAGGCTGTAAATCTCCATGGAGGAAGGCTCATCTTTCTCCTGAGGAGCAGCAGATGGTGGATTTGAACTGCAGACTTTTGACTAGAAGTCCAGCATTTAGTCCACCACAACATCAGGTCTCCTGAATATCAAATCCATATCCTAAAATGAGTTGTTGTTAAAGTTTGTTGTTGTTGTTATGTGCTGTCAGGTCGCTTGTGACTCATAGCAAGTTGTTAAAAGAGAGAAAAAAAAGAAAAAGAAAGAAGAGCTTTTAGCCCACACTTCTTTTTTAATTTATTTTAATTTCTTTATTTTTCATTTCAATGAACATCTACAGAGATTTTGGAACTAAACTATTGATATGGGACAGTTCTTCACAACATCAATCCACCAGTCACTGCTGGCATCACTCAGTGGGGACTATGAATGTTGGGTACTCTCTGGGTGATGTAATAGTAAGCATGCAGTACCACCATTTGATAGGGAAGTGGTCTTCCCTATCAAATAGCCCATGTAATACTGTAAAATAAAAGTTCCACACTCAGAGTAGCCACTAAGCTCTTAAAATTACTGAAAATAAAGTCAAGGCTTCCATACTTCAGTGAAAGGTCCCTGGTCAATAGCCCTTGGTTTAGCTTTCAACATTTCCTGGGAAAGCTTGGGAAAATTGCTCAATCATTTCCCTACTAACCACATTTAATCTGGTCAATGGTTTTCTTTTCCGAAATTACATGTATAAGGTTATACTGAGAACATTCCTTTTATTTTTTTTAATTATTATTTTTTGTGTGTCTACCATCAAATCAGATCTGACTGGTACAGGAAGAGATTGCCCTCCTTCTCCAACACAGCATCTGGTGGATTTGAACCGCATACCTCTGGGATTGCAGCGCAGCGCCTTGCCACTAGGCCACCAGAGCTCCCTACAAGGACATTCCTTTTATAAAGCTCTGTATTACATTCTTCCATGAAGGAAGATGGCATGAGGTGTCATTTGTTCACTTGCTCCTCATTTTCTCTTCTATAGTTTTCCCTGGAAGAAGAAAGGTTTCTGGCAATGATGTGTTTTTAATAGGTGGAAAGGGATAGAAAAATGAGGAAAATATTCTCAAAATACATTAGTGGCATCCTTTGAGTCTAATGAAAATGTCTTTGAAAATCTTCTTTGTCCTCTCTTCGACCTGGCCTAGAAAAGATAAGAGTGCCCTGGGAAAAGTCAGAAGTATTCGGCAGAAATTGCAAAAGTTTAGAGAAGTGTGATGAGTTGATAATCAGAGTGGATGCAACTTCTTTTATACAGGGTACAGGATCCACAATTGTCACCACCCAAACTACTACTAAAAGGAGGTTATAAATATGCAAATGTTAAAACACATAATCAATATCCTTGCTATAGAAGTTGGCTTGGTATTGGAGGTGTTGGTATTCAGACTGATGCAGTGTCGAAGGAATGATCGTGGTAAGCTTCTTGGGAAGGCTGTGTCACATTCAAAGACACTGTTACCCTCCTGGGACCATTTCTTCCCAAATGTCCAATCCAAAAACCAGAGCATCATCATTGCCTCTTGTTCTTCCCCTCCCTTCCCTTCCCTTCCTTTCCCTTTCCTCTCACATCCAAGGGATCCCAAAATGCTGAACATTCTGCTCCTTCCTATCTCTTTAACAGCTCCAAGTTGTTCCATCTCAGCATTAACTCTCATTATTCCTCTTTATCCTCCAGCTTTCCCTTCTCTCTAATCCTGAATTCTAGTTTCACTTCTTTACTAAAAGATGGTTAATTTTATTAAAATGTCTTCAGGATACAGCCCAGTCTTTAAAAGCACAGGCTCCAAAATCTTTTAGAATCTTGGTCCCAATTGTCTTCTTCAGACGGCTCTCTTTTAATCCCTTCTATCTCTCTGGGTTTTATTCCTGTTTTTAAAAATCTGTAGTTTTATCCATTTAGCTCTCTCCATGTCTCTGCTCTCCCTTCATCCTCCTAAACACACATACACACTCCTCAGCCAAAATCATTTCCTTCACTATTCCCTAAACTCCATGCTTTCTCTTGCCACTGGTCCTTGGTGTATTCTAGTCCCTCTGGTTGACCTTTCCACTAGATCTCCATCACCGCTCTCAGTCTGCTGTCTCCATCTTCAGCACATACATAGCCTACTCTGAGAAGTCTGACTTTCTCTCCACTTCCCTCCAGCTCTGTCCACACTTGCACAGTACCCTATGCACCTCTGCTTCCTTATCACACTGTATTCTAGCTGCCTGTTCAATTCTCCAGCTCTCTCACTGCACTACCACTGGGAATTCTGGGAATGTGTCTTTTTGTTAATCTTTTTTAATCATTGTATTCTCAATACCTAACACGGTACATAGCAGCTGTTCCATCTATATTTGTTCAGTGATTTAGTGACTAAGTCCACAGCTTTATTAATTTGACATGGAAAAGAGTTTTAATGCCTCAAATTCCTTTTCCTTGGAATGAGTTCAACTGTGTCACTTTATCACTGTGCCACCACAGACCCCTGATAGCTGCCTGCCAGTTCACAGGTGTTTAATCCCCTGAGCTCAACCTGCGGTCCCCAATGCCACACTTACCAGGGTGGATCAGGCAGGAGTCACACTCATTCTCTTCATTCCGGCAGCAGGGGATGGTATAGCCCACCACCTCCTTCTTCCCAGGGCAGACGCACTCAATCTGATCATATTCACAACATTCTCGGCACATGATGTTCCATTCAGCTCCGGGGCAGGCTTCATTAATGACTGTGTACTCTGAAATGGAAAAATCAGCAGGTTAGATCTTAGGTCCTGGTGCAAGTGGTGAGGCCACAACATCACTGGAATTGTCTTATGAGAAGCAACCTTGTGTTACTATAGACATAGTCCTCTGTCTGAATGGTACAGACAGTCCGTATGAAAGGTGAAACTTAATGAGGAGGTAGCCTCCCTGGAGGCAAAGATGGTGAAACTGCATCTCACATACGTTGGGCATGTTGTTAGAAGGGGTCAGCTATTGGAGATGGATATCAAGTTTGGAAAGATTAAGGGTCAGCAATAAAGAGGAAGACCATCAGTTAGAAGGATTGACTCACTGACTGTAACAATGGGCTCAAGTATATCAGAGATGACGGGTATGGGACAGGACATGGTTCAGATCCATGACTCATAGGATCCCGAGGAGTCTTTCTCGACTCAATGGCACCTAATAACAACAACATTCAGTTTGATTTTCTTCATTCAAACAAGAAAGGAAATCATTCTCTATCAATGTATAATCTAAGTGCATTGACAATAGAATGTCGTCAGGGTTGTATAGCCCTGGTGTGTCCACTTGCCATACAGAGGTAACTTGTGGTCATTGTGAAGCTGAACACTGGGACAATGATGTGTCAAATGCATTAATGGTTACCCACGGCATACAGTGTTAGGTAGCTCTCCCCGATTAAAACAAGCTTGGAAGCAGGAGTGGCATCCACTTCCATAATAGCTTGCCTCTGGAATCCCTATGAACCTGGAGAAAGGACGAAAGTCACCCAATTGTTAAGGACTTTCATTCATAGGGTCGCTATGAGTCACCTATGACTTGACAGCACTTAACAACAACAACAACATACATATCTATTATGGATTTGTTTAAACTGGGTTGAATAGTGTTCTAAAATTCATGGAGAGCCTTCAAATGTGTTCTTATTTGGAAATAGGATCTTTGCAGACATACTTAGTTACTTAGTTAGGATGAGGTCATAGTGGAGTAAGGTAGACCTTAAACCCAACTGACTGGTATCCTTAAAAGATGAGGAGAGACAGAGAGCACTGTGACAGCCAAGACAGAGACTGGAGTGATGTAGCTACAAGTCGAGGAACACTAGAGACTGTCAGCAATCACCAGCAGCGGGAAAGAGGCAAGGGAAGATTCTTCCCTAGGGCCTTCAGAGGTGTTGCAACATCTTTATTCTAACTTCCAGCTCCTAGAATTGTGAGAGAATAAAGCTCTGTTATTTCAAGCCACCCAGTGTTTGGTGTTTTATGATGGCAGACCTTGTTGTTGTTGTTATGTATGTACCCTCAAGTCAGAGCCTACCTATAGCTGACCCTCCAACAAGTTTTCAGAGGCAGTAAATCTCAAGGAAGAAAATTGTCCATCTTTCTCATGTTAATAGTGGGTGAATTTGGCAGAACAACTCCTTTATCATTGAGTCAGCAGAGAGAGCTCCCAAGGAAACAGAGAGGCTACATTCATTTCTGTTTCTGTCAAGGTACATCAGGTCACTGCTTACAGCTACATAGGTATGGACTGTACAGCCCAGGGAAAGGGCATTCAGATGGCATACTGTCACGCCAAACATTACAGCTGAGGTGTGCGGGCTGAGCAAAAAGTCAGAGGCCACTCTCTACACTAGGCCATTCAAGCGCAAGGCTAATTGCCAAGGAGAAACTCCGTCATTTCCTCTAAGCTTGGCTGCTCCCTTTCCCAGCATGCCCTTCTCATGGTATCTTCAAAGCTAAAACCAACCAGAAAAGACAAAAAGTACCTTAATTAGTATGTTTGGGAGAATTTCAAGGTTTTACCAGGGTGAACTCATTAGTAGAACTGCTTTCAATCTTCAAATACAATCAAGAATTCTTTCCCGTGAGAAAAAAAAAAATAAAAGATAATCCTTTCTGGATAGAATTTTTCTTTTCCTTTTATTTTAAAAAATATACCTTAAGTAAACTAGGAGAAACCAAAATCTAGCAAAATCTGAAAGAATCAGTCAGAGGCTTCCTAGAGGAACCGTCACTAAGAAATAAACATCTTGCCTTCGCTGGCTTTTTGTTGTTCTTATTCTCCATCCCTAACAATTTTGTGCAAAGGGAACAACTGAGGTAGAATGGGTTAGATACCTAAGGAGGAATGTGCACTGGAGGTCTAGGGAAGATTTTCCTGGAAATCCCAGGCAGGGATCCCCAATATGCTTCATAGAGCCACAGAAGCCTGTTCCTATATTTGCAGTGATTTCTGAAGTCTTAAATTTTTACAGTTTAATTTGATGCTTTCCTCACCAAATTGAGAATTTGGACATAAGATTACCAAGGTAACGCATTGCTTTCTATTCCATTCTAATTCCTGTGTGTCAGAGTTCCCACAGCAGTAGTCTTTATGGAAATAGATGGCCAGGCCTTTCTCCTTTGGATTGGATGCTATTGTGTGCCATCAAGTTGGAACCACTGCCATCATGGTTGACTCTCCAGTGGGTTTTCAGAGACTGTATAACACATGGGAGGAGACTGCCCATTTTCCTCCCATGGAAGCACCCATGTTTGGGTTGGCCAACACAATTCTTTATCACTAGGTCACCAGAGCTCCCTGCTGGTAGATTAAAATCACTGACTTTTTGGAGAACAGCACAGCACTTAACCACTGTACCACCAGAATTTCTTACCTAGGAACTAATTCCCCAAAACACTATTATTTTTTTCTTTTAGTCTTTATCTTTTTGTCAGTAAGCAAATGTATCTCCTCCTCCTTAGCTCATTACAGTAACTTTCTAGATGGATTCAGAGATATCCATTCTATTGTAGCAAAGTATCTTAGTTATCCAGTGTTACTACAACAGAGATACCACAAGTGAGTGGGTTTTACAAACAGAAATTTATTTTCTCATAATTTAGCAGAGTAGACGTTTAAATTTAGAGTGCTGGCTCTAGCAGGCCCTCTCTCTGTCAGTTCTAGAGGAAGGTCCTTATTTCCTCCAGCATCTGTAGGCCCAGCATTCCTTGGAGATCTTGGATGTCTTGACCTTCACTATGTCAAGTCTCAGCACAAGAACCTTGCTCCAAAGAATATACTCTACTCTTACTCTTCTTTCTGGTGGCACTGAATCAACATTTCCGTCTTCTTCTGTGCTAAGCATATTACTAGGAAGACTTATTCCTTGGAGAGAGACACGATGCTTGGGAGGGTGGAGTATCAGCAAAGGAGAGAAAGACCCTCAACCAAGTGGATTGACACAGTGACTGCCACAATGGGATCTAATGTGTCAGGAAGTGTGAAGATGGCACAGGATAGAACAGGGTTCAGATCTGTTGTTCATAGGGAAGTTATGAGTCAAACTCAATGACACCTAACAACAATGCCCATCCTCGGATTTACTTCTCTCTCCCTAATTTTTAAGACAAAAGGTAATGCAAGCCAACTGGAAAACTGTTCACATTAGATCAGCCTGTGATTGGATTAAGGGTATTAATTTCCACCCTTTGTCATCCTACAACTGTTCCATTTATCAGATCGTAGGGGATCATTACATAATTATACATATATTTTGGGAGATGCAATTCAATCTATAACATCAAGCATCAGTCATCTCTGCTGAAGAAAATGATCCAGAGAAGTTAATTTACATTGTGCCTGCCAAACCAAATATCCAAGGATTGCTTTCAGGGACTCCATGCACAGAAGACAGAACAATGATTCCTTAAAATGCCATACCTTAATCCTTAGGAGGTATGAAGGTGCTACTCTATAAAGGCAAAAAAAGGATTTTGCAGCTGTGCTTAAGTTAAGGACCTTCCAATTGGGAAAGGATTCTGGATTGTTCATACGAACTTAATGTAATCCCCAGGGTCCTCATAAGAGGGTAGCAGAAGAGTTAGACACAGAAGACGGACTATGACAATGGAGGCAGAGGTTTGTTTGCTTTGCTTTGAAAACAGAGGAAGGGCCACAAAGAATGCAAAAGACTCTAGAAGCTGAAAATTGTAAGACTAAATTCTTCCTTTGACTGTCCATAAAGAATATGGTCGGGCAGACACCTTGATTTTTAGCTTTCTAAGACTCATTTCCTATGACTACTTTCTCTAGGAGTAATTACATCTAGGACCATTTATCCTCATAATGGTATAGATTTCATCTCTTACTTTGGACATGCCTTCAGGAGGGACCAGTTCCTATAAAAGAACGTTATGGTTGGTAAAACAGAGGGTTGGTGAAAAAGACTCTTTATGGGATGACTGCAACAATGGGATGCTAAGTGAAAGACTGAAGTCCACGCAGACATGCCTCAGAAAAAAGGCTTGGGGGACTACGTTGACTCACACAGCATCAACATGAGCCAGAATTTGCTTAATGGCAACCAAAATAGGAATATAATTAAGTATTGCTATATCTGTGGGGTTCTAATGACACCATTGATTAAACATTGAACTGCTAACTGAAAGGCTGGCAGGTTAAATTCACCAGACACTCCATAGGATAAACATGTGAACATCTGCTTCTGTAAAAATTTATAACTTTGGAAACTGTGGAGCACTTCTGCTCTGTGCTACAGGGTCACGCTGAACCCAATCTATTTGATGGCAGTGGGCTTGGGTAACTATTGTGTCAATGTTGTTGTTGTTGTGTACCATTGAGTTGAAACCAACTCAGCTGGCCTCTCGTGGCTTTTAGAAGGCAGTAATCACAGAAGGATATTTCCTATCCATGCTTTTTTACTTCTCAGGGTGTTCTGTATTAGACATTGCTTTCCTCACTCCCCCATGACTTGTCATGAGCATTTTTCCTTGACAATAGTCTTCAAATATGGTTTTAAATTACTGCATTATTGTTCTTTGTATTAAAATGTCACTCTACACTTTTTAAAATCAGAATGAGCAAGACTTAAGATGACTTTTTCATCATTAGCTTTCCCCAAACTCTTCTTTGCATTTGCCGCCCTGAAGAACAGCCATTCAGAGAGGGAAGTCCAGTTACTTTGGGTCATATCTGGCTCTTCTAGAATACACTTTGGAAAAGA